GCGGGAGAGAACGCGCTCCCTCCTCACCACGGCGAGGTTGTGGGCCCCACCCGGGGGTTCCCACCCCCGCGCTTGTCACCAGCCTCGGCCGAGGCGCCGACCTATAACCCCCCCCCCCCCCCCCCCCACACAGGCTCGCCTCTTCCACATGCCCGAGGGGATGCCGCCCGACGCCGCCGACCTTGTCGACAACCTCCTCGCCTCCAGCCCCGACCAGCGGCTCGGCGGCGGCGCGAGCCTCGACGAGCCGGCGGCTGCGCGGCACGGCGCCCTCCTCGACCACCCTTTCTTCGGCCGGCACGTCGGCGGCTCGGGCGGCGCCGGCGCACAGCCCCGCGGCTCGCTGCACCAGCGGCCCCTCCCCATCCCGCGCCTGGCGGAGCTGTGCCTCGAGCCGGTCTGCACCAGGCTCACTCAAGGAGGCTGGGCGCGCGCGGCCATTGGCGGCCCGCCAGCCTCGCGCTGGCCAGACGCCGTCTGCCGCGCGCTCGTCTTTGAGCTCGCGAGGAAGCGCGCGCTGACGGACGAGCTGCGGCAGGCGCGCCTCGCCCCTCCCGCCCCTCCCGCCCCTCCCGCGCACCCAGCCCCTCCCCCCCCTCCCGACGCACCCCCGGCCGCCTCCCTCTGCCGCACCGAATGCATGCCATGCCTCTCCTCCGCAGCTGCTGCGGGCCGGCCCGCCTCCGCCGCCGATCGATGACGACGCGCTGATTGAGGCGGCGCGGAACGAGGCGGGCGAGGAGGAGTCGCGGCCGCTAGGGACGCGACCGATGTCGCAGGCGCTGCCGGCTGAGCTGGCGGCGATGGACGATGAGGAGGAGTTGCGGCAGGCGGAGGCGGGCGAGATGTTCGGAGAGAGCTCCAGCGACGAGTCGGGAGGGGCCGAGGGCACGCTGGTGTGAGGCACAACCGGGGGGCGCGCCGCGCGTTCGAGTGTATAGAGATGAGTTGCGGTTGCGGTTGGGGAGACTGCAGCTCTCACCCTATGCGGCAGTCGCCAGTCCATGTCCCCCGCCCGCTCCCGCAGCCGCACGAGCGGTAAAAATAAACACCTTGTCTAGTGCTACTCGTAGGAAAGGATGTGCGGGGCGTAAAATCTAACTCCGCTCAGCGCGCTAAAACGAAGACGGAAGAGGAGAAGCTGGCCTATGCCGGGAGACACGACCGGACCACTCGACCGGACGAGTGTGCGGAGACGCCATGGGAGACGCGGAGAGAGCCGAGCGAGGTCCCCCCACAATGGCGGTCCTGTGCAGGGGGGGTTCTTTGACCTAACGCGCAACGGTCAACGGAGAACGGCGCCGTCTGAGGCCTGTCCGCACAGTGTGCACACACAAAACACACTATATGCACACACACGTGTACGTTCTCTATACGTGTATGTGTGTGCATGAGCATGTGGCGCCTATCCGGTCCTCTCGATGTACTTTGTGGCTCAACTGCGGGTATGTACACTACAGTATGGAAAGCACCTTGTCCAGTGAGTGCTCGCTTACGCTCATACGACGCATCCCCCCGCCGCCTGTCCTTGGGCCAAGCCCTGCCCAGCGGGACGCGACAGTTGGCTGGCCAAGGCAGTCGCCGTACTCGAATCGGTGCTCAGCGTTGCGGATCCGCTCGTCGCCATACGCGGCGCTGCCGAGCCTCCCTGAGCACTGGCTGCTTCCGCAAGTGTCGCGCAGCCGAGCGAACGCCTCGCCCAAGAGCAGGTCCGCTAGCCTCCGCCCGTGCCACCCGGCGTCCCCGTGCGTGCCATGCGATCCGTGGCAAAAGACAACCTTCGAGGCGTCGCGCCGCATCGCCGCTTGCATCTTGGCGACGAGCGGCACGTCGTCCGCACGCGGGCGCAAGAATCGCGAGAGGACGGCGTCGATCGCCGCAAGCGGGTCCGCCACGAAGTCGGACTCGCGGATGCGGATCGACCACAGCTCGTACGACACGCGGGGCGGCCGCATCGGCGGCTCTTCCGCGGCAAAGACGAAGGGCAAGTTCGGGCCAAGCAGGTCGCTGACTATGATCGGGATGCAGCCAGCGGCGACTGAGTCGTACAGACGACGAGAGGTCGAGGTGTCGCCCCTCAAGTGGAGGCAGAAGATCGAGTCCCGCATCTCGTGGGCATACCGGCGCACTTCCACCCGGCGGCACCGCTTCGCGAGCTCGGGCCCGCAGCGCCGCGACTGGTCGAACTCGCGCACTGACGAGAGGCGCACGTGAACACCGCGGCGCTCAAGCTCCTCTCCACCGGTGACAGCGCGCGGTGCGCGTGCCAGCCTGCCGAGGGCGGCGCGGACCCCGCCGGAGGAGTCGTTGAGCCCCTCGCGCTGCCGGATGGTTCCGAAAAAGGAGACGTTGACTCTGCGCTGGTGCCACGGCCTGTAGGCAGGCGCGCTGCCGCACGGCCGCATTAGGCCCGCGTGTGGCGGGTACGGCACCACGATGACGCGGTCCAGGCAGAGGCCTCGGTCGACGGCCGGGTCGAAGGGCGCCCTCTCCGTCTGGTTGTGTATCCAGTGCGGCACGCGTGGGTCGAGCCACTTGACGTTGCGCTCGAGGCTGACGGTGAGACCACGCAGTGCCACCATCCAGAAGAGCTTGCCGAGCAGTCCCGCGCACTGCCAGTGCGTGCACGCGACCAGGTGGTCGGCGCCACGACGCCGCAACCAGGCGGGCTCAAGCGCGAGCGCCGCCGCCACACGGTCCACTGAGCCCGGGTCAACGTGCGGCAGCGCCGGGACCACGAAGAGCGACGCGGCTGACGGGTCGTGCGTGCGCTGCGGATGACTGCGGAGCTCCCAGTAGACAAACAGCTCGGCGAACCACATCATCCTGCCGTTCAGGTCCGAGTGCCGGGCGAGCGACTGTGAGATTGCACGGATCGCTGTGGCATTCGGAATGAACTCGGGCCCCTCGTACATGAAGAAACGCGGCCCGAGTATAGGTGGCGCAGGTGGTGAGGCTGCCGAATTCCTGGAAGGCACCATCGACTTCGCGGCCCGCGGCGGCGGCAACCTGCTGCCGCGCGGCGCGTGCGAACGACTCGACGCGTCCCCGACGGGCGCTTTTGGTTGCTGTGCTCAGTGTGGTACCCAAGCTTTGAACTCTCCTCCGCGCTGCGTCGATGGACTGTGCATCTGTCTCTCTCCCTTTCATTCCTCGGGACATTGGAAGGTCTACAATGGTACTGTCCCTCAAACGTCTACCACGGTCGCCAGTGTCAAGAGACACGTACGTGTCTCGTGTCACGTCACCACTGGCTGGGTGGGGCCGCCTCTATAGGGCAGCCTCGGCGGCTCGGGAGACTCGGACAACATGCACATGCACACATGCACACGCAAAGCGGCGCGGCGAAGCTCACGCAAGGCCAAGGGGCAGCAATACGCCATACCCGTCCGACGCCGAAGCCACAGACAGCGACGAGCATAGCGCGTGCGCGGGGGCCCGGAGGAGCTGGATCCTACGATGTGTTATGTCGCTAAATGCAAATGGTTATTGCGACGACACGGACACCGACGAGACAGACAAGAAAGTAGGAAAGTTTTTTTTGCCCCCTTCTCGAGTGTCTAATCGATTAGCGGTCCCGCGGCATGTCGGGGAGAGGGGGGACGGCACTGCTTCTGCAGCGTGCACACCTCGATCCTGTACCGTGTTTGTTATGCCCCCCCCAATGAACACACCAGTGTGAGGTGGGCGCGAGGATGAAATCCCTTATGGATATAATCGCCCCCAATTATCTCAGGAATATAGTGTGAATGCCCGGGAACAGTGTCACCGACACGCCTTAGTCGACCCGGAACACACACGTATGATATTCGGGCCGACTCGCGGCATCTCAGCGCCTTGGGTGGACACGGCTGGGGGTTCGCTCGCGGCAGTGCCGTGCAGCGCATCGATGACACGCTCCAAGAGCGGCGGCGCCTTGAGGTCCTCCGCCCGAGGCAGCGCGCCGCCCACGACGCGCCACAGCCGCTCGGCACACTCCCGCTCATCCGCGCTGAGCGGTGGCAGCGCGGCGAGCGCGCCGGGCTGCTGTTGGGCCGCTGTTGGGCTCGCCGCCCGCCCATGGCTCGCGTCGCTCAGCCGCCTCCACGCGCGGAGCAGCTTGTGCGCGTACCGCGCGTGCTCCCGCTCCAAGAAAGCGACGTGCTCCTCCGCCGGCTGCGGCGCAGGCAGCCCGTGCCTCTCTGCCCACCGCGCGAGCCTGAGCACGCAGCAAGCGCCTCCCTCCGAGCCCGCGCCCGGCGCGCACGCGTAGCACCCGCCCGGCGGCGGCGGCGCGGAAGCGTGCGGCGCGGCGGCGGGCGGCTCGGCCGCGTACAGGTACCACCGGACCGCTGCAGTGTGGTGTGTCTGGTCGACGGCGAGGGCTGCGGCGAGGCCCGCGTGGCGAGCGGCGGCGAGGAGCAGCGACGCGGCCGCCTGGGCTGCCTCGGGAGGCGGGTGGAACTGGAACACCGCGGCGCCGCCGCGGCCGCCCACCACGCGCCTCGTCTCAGAGAGGCAGCGCCGGGCTCGCTCCGGCGCAGCCTCGCCCGCGGCATCCTCGCACAGGAACTGCGCGGCGGAGACCGAGACGGCGCCGTCGAAGACGCCGCTTCGGAACGGGAGGGGCCGCGACATGTCGGCGTGCACGACCTCGGCGCCGCTCCGCCGCGCGACCAGCAGCATCTCGCGCGCCAGGTCGAGCCCGACCGGCACAGAGCCCGCAGCCGCGAGGGGCGCGGAGGAGAGGCACGAGCCGCACCCCACGTCGAGCAGCAGCGAGCCGCGGCCGCCGTCCGGTAGGCCGGCCAGCTCGAGGCAGCGGCCTGCCAGCGCGGCCTGCGGCCCTGCAAGACGCGCCGTGTAGGCGTCCGAGCGCTCCGCATCATAATAAGCATTGATGCCGTCAGCGTCGGCCTTCATGCGGGTCTGCCGCCGCCAGCCCGCCACCGCTGTGCGGAGCGCTCCGACGCCATCGAAAGCGCCGGCGGCGCGCAACGCTGCGTCCACCGCGTCTAAGCGATCCTCAGACAGCGTGATGGGCCGGCCGCGGCCAGAGGCCTCGCGTGCGAGCGCTGTGACGAGCGTCCGCGCGTCGGTGTGCACCGCGGTCGGCAGCTCGCCTAGCGCCCGCAGCTGGCCGTACAGGTCGACGCAAAGAGGCTTGCGCTTGGTCTGGGGCATGAGCTGGAGACGGCCTCTTGCGCGCGGAGACACTGGGCGGGACTGGCGCGCACTGGCACTAACACAGGCACACCACGGGAGCCACGAAGCGACGACTTCTTCCCTGTGGGTTCCGGCTCCTACTCGAGTAGCCAGATAGGGGGTCTGATCCACTGAGTCGCGCCAAAACGCCGTACCTATCTACCTATGGATATCCCCACGCGCGCAGCGAAGCGAAAAAGAGGAAAATGGAGCTAGGCTAGGGTTGCGCAGCTATGAACAGGAGCGAGTTCGCGCTGCGCTAGGCTCAGACGGCGAGTTCGCGCTGCAATAGGCTCAGACGGCGAGTTCGCGCTGCGCTAGGCTCCGCGAGTTCGCGCTGCGGGCTACGGAAGACTACGGTCGTCGGACGTCCGCGCCGCTGCGCAAAAATAGCTAAATAGGTAGGGGGCCTCTGGGGCGGTCAAAACCGGTCCTACCTACCTACCTATTGCACAGGGGCCAGCCAGTGGGGACAGACCCCCTATCTGGCTAGGAGCCGGAACCCTGTTTTGGGATTTCTTTCTTTCTTTCTTTCAGCTCCCTCGGGAAAGAGAATTTAGCCACACAGGAACTTTACCACCAAACTCCCTCGCACAACACTAGAGAGAGTTTGGTTAATAAAAATCTCTCTCTCAACACTAGGCACGCGGGAAAGAGAATTGTCCGACAAGACTTGTAGCGAGAATTAAGAGAGGAGAACCGGAGCGCCGGGAAGACGGGCGGTGAACGCCGAGACGAGGGTCTAAGTAAGCAAGTGTCTGTCAGTGGTAGGTGAGTGGTGTACACAGTAGCCCCAGTCGTGTCCATTAGCTCCGACGTCCGAGTAGAGGGGGCGTCCTGCAGTTAGTTAAGGGGAAACCCGGCGTACGCCGGGCCAACCCTCGGAGACGCGTGTTTGTTTACTTTATGGCCCCTTTTCCCTGCGAACGCGCACCCCCCAGGGTCAGGGCTGAGGGCTCTCTAGCCCGCAGCCCGATGCCGATCATCTGGCCCGCTGGGTGCGCTTCATAGCTCCCCGGCCCTGGGTGTGAGTGAGGTTAAATGACTGACTGCACTCCAAGTGCTGCTCCAAAACTCCCTCTCACCACACTGCGCGGGGACTGACACTAACACAGGTACACCACACGGGAAAGAGAATTCGCTCCTGCGGCCTCTACACAAAAGCACAACCCCGGGCCTCTACACACACACAAGCTTTTCGTTGTCCCCCACACTCATTTGATTTTATCGTTGTCTGGTCGGGCCCCCGCGGTACTTCATTCGGCCCATATCGCGGTGGTTGAGGCCGATTTGCCTCAACTGTCAACCAGCGGGTTGAGAGAGGTCTCAACAATCAACCACAAGAAAACAAAAACCATTGTCAGAGTCGTTTGGTATTGTCCCGCAGCTCCAGCCGATCTCTCGTCAACGGTCGGATCTTATTACCCCACCTGTAACCTCTCGATATTGCTAAATCTCTCTCTCTCTCTCTCTCTCTCTCTCTCTCTCTCTCTCTCTCTCTCTCTCTCTCTCTCTCTCTCTCTCTCTCTCTCTCTCTCTCTCTCTCTCTCTCTCTCTCTCTCTCTCTCCCTCTCTCTCGCAACCAAGTGGTTGCGACCGCTTCAAACTTCAACCACGCGGAATGTAGAGCGGAATGGCTGTTCACACCCCGCTCAAAGGTGTTGTCATGTGTGATGTGAGGGGAACGGTAAAATCTAAATGTAAAAATTCATGTCGCCTCTTTAGTGTTTCGACGCCACCGCCAGGCGCGCCGCATTTGAGTTTTGACGCCTTTTTTTTACGAGTAAAGGCACTTCCGTGGGATGGAGTGGCTTGATTATGCCATCAAAGCCCGCCGAGCCGGAGAGCGCTGACAGCCATCCTAGCCCACAGCCTACTCTCTTGGGGTGGTGCGTAGAGACCTCTCTCTTTCGTCTTTGTGGAAAAAAAAAGCAGGACAGGAACTTACAGTGCGAGGCGTGGCGATAGAAATCGGGGCGTCGGCATCCAGCAGCCGATTTCTGTTTCGGCGAGGGAAATCGGGCGAGCCAGCAGCCGATTTCTGTAAGCGATTTCTGCCAAAATTTTCTTCGGCGCTGCGCGCCGGTCACTATACGGTCTAGATACTAGTACACTAAAAGGTTGCCCTGAGATACGAATTCAATCCTCCCGCTTAACCTTTATTTCGTGTGTGCGTGCTCGCTCGTGCCTCGTGCGCCGAACCAAGTTCTGCTTCATTCAACAAACCCGTCGAGAGGCCACGTCACGCCGGTGTCCCCTTTTTCTGCATCTTTGTGAGTGTGGCAGCCCACTTTGCCAGTCCCTAGAGGTGTCTTTGACATTTGACTTCGATGTCTGGTGGGGGACGATTTATGTCTGGTGGGGGACGAAGGTGCTCAAAGGTTGCGGGCGTGTCACCACTCGCGCCTTCGCTCTCGACACTGGGTTCTGGACATGCAACGACATGCCGAAAAGGGAGCGATCCGCGGCGCAGGCACGCGCTGAGGCCGTGTATAGACGCGCCAATCCGGATGATAGGGGCGATCGGGGCCGTGACCGCAGGGCCGAGAAGGTCGAGTACAGACGCAGACTCAAGAAAACGAGAGCGGAGGCCGCCGCCCTCGCGGTGCCTAACGCTGCTCCTGCGGCTCTCGTTCCCGTCCCGATTCCGTCTATCGTCCCTCGGCCACGGGCCCTCGGCCAGCACGGCAGGGGCCACCTGCTCGTCGCGAGGCAGCCGAGCTTGGCACTTCCGCCGCCCCTCGCCGCTCTTCCACCTACAATTGCTCCTCGCCTCGTCGCTCCGATCCCGCCTTTGGCGCCGACCGCGAGCCGGTACGGCGGCCTCGCCCTGCGCGACATCGCCTTTGGCAGCAGCCAGGGTCGCCTCGGCAAGGGCGGCCAAGGCACCGTTAGGCTTGGCCGCCACTACGGTGGTCGTCTCGCGGTGAAGCAGCCGCTGCGCGCGAGCAGCGCCTTCGCCTCCGAGTGTCAGATCGCGGCAGCACTACACCATGAGAACATCATCTATGTGATGGGCTTTGCATGCGCCCCGCGCGAGACGCCGTTCCTCGCTCTCGACTATGCCGACGCAGGGACTCTGGGAGATTTGTTGATCGGGGATCAGAGGGGCGAGAGCCGCTCCCTCGGCGTGCAGATTGCAAGAGCAATGTCGTACCTGCACACGCGATCTCCCCCCATCGTGCACCTTGACCTCAAGCCATCGAACGTGCTGCTGTCGGCGCGCTCTGAGGGGCTTGTCGCTAAGCTGTGTGACTTTGGGCAGGCGAGGCGACTAGCCGTTGGGGCGCAGCTCTCGCACTCAGGCACGCCGGGTTGGCGGGCGCCCGAGCAGGTGCGGGTGGCCCGCGACTTTGCAGTCGTGCCGCTTTCGCGTGGCACCGACGCCTGGTCGCTAGGGTGTGTCCTGGCTGCGCTCGAGGCGCCGTCGGGCGTCTGCGACCCGTACCACTTCGCCACGGGCGACGCGCCAGGCAAGTGCGACTCGCGCCTCCGACACGAGCTCGACGCAATCGTCGCGAACGGCTTCACCCGCCCGTGTGTGCCCGATGAAAGCCGGCTTGCAGGTGTGGTCAGCGCGTGTACGCACGCCCTGCCTAGTGAGCGAGCGACGTGCGCGTGGGTGCGCGCCGAGCTCGAGCAGCTTCTGCTGCAGCCGTGAGCGCAGAGAGTGACGCGCGAGTGACGGGCGAGGCCGATTGTCGATCTCTTTTCTGGTTGGTGCCATGTTTTGAGGGTGTATGAAATCTGTAATTGTCAAATGACACCCGGCTAGGCCGACACAGCCCCCCTCCCCCACTCGCCGCGCTAACAGTCTCGCACAAAATAAACAGCCGGGAGCGGGGTCGGGTCGTGTGGGCACAGCCTCAGCAGACACAGCCTGCGCGACGAGCCGGCCCGCCTAGGCAAAGGGCGAAAAGCAGAGGATCGCCGCATTCACGCCGTTGCGGCGCGACGGCGTCAGTCCCTCCGGCGTGACGGGCGGCGCGGTAACACGCGCCCGTTTCTTGCCGCCGGCGTTGACCGGAGCGGTCGAGGACGACGCAGCGGCAACTACGCCGTTGACGGGAGCCGGGCTCGGCTTCGGCATGCGCGAGAAGAATTTGTGAAGTGTCCCATGCTCGCTCTCTGGCGAGAGGGCCATCAGGCGCTTGAGCGCATCCTCCTTGTACTTGGTCACCATGTGGGCCGGGAGGTCTCGGGCTTGGCGGCGCGTCAGCGGCGGCACGACCGGCTCGTCGAGGGGGTTCTTCGTGGCGGCGACCTTGCGCTTGTGCGCGCGGACGTACACCTTGCGGACGCGTGGCTGAGGGCACTCTCCCGAGGGCGGCATGGCGACTTGCTGTGGATGTAGTCGATGTGTGCAGTGTGCAGGATTTGCACCCTTTTTGCATTCATCCTGACACGTGACACTACGCGAGCAGCACCCATGGAGGCGCTGGTCAACACTGTGCTGCTGGCTGCACACCCGAGCCTTCGCGAGCGCTGCAACGCCGCAAAGGTCGTGTCGGTCCTCGAGGAGCTCGGGGCGTACGACTCGTCCGCACTGCGGTCACTCCTCTCGTCGTTCACCGACACCGTCGCACACAAGCTGAAGGAGGAGGAAGCAGCACCGCCAGCTCTGGTCGCCGCGCTGGCGACGCATGTCGACTCGGGCAGCCTATCAGAGCCTCAGAACATCGGCGGCGCGATGGACGCGACAGCTGCAACCTCCTCCTCGAGCAGCGCCGCCGCTGCTGTCACCCCGAGGACGGTGAAGGCGAAGGCCGGCGGCGGCAAGCATAGCACGCTGCAGCAGAAGTCGATCGGCGCGTTCTTTGCTGGTGGCACCAGGACTACGTACGCGACGCTGCCGGGCATAGGCCGTCAGATCAGATCCGTTACCTCGCTCACGCCCGAGCAGCTGCAGGCTGTGGGCAAGGCGCCCGAGAAGTTCACGTCGTGCGCCAAGGGCTGTGGGCAGACATTCTTGCACGGGCCTGCGCGCGTTGCGCACGAAAAGTTCTGCAGCGGTCGCGCGGCCGAGACGGCCGCCGAAGTCGCCGCCGCCGCAGAGGCTGCCGCCTCCGCTGCCACCACCACCCAGCCCGCCACCGCCGTCACCGAGGCTGCCGCCGAAGCCGCTAACAGCAGCGACGACGAGCAGCCACCCGCGAAAGCACCAAAGCTGCGCGCGGATGGCGGCATCAAGCAGAGTGGGCTCCGCCAGGGCGAGAAGAAGGGCATGAAACACTCGCTCTACTTTAAGCTCGAGGTGGTGCGCACGCTGCGCAGGTTGCAGAGCCTCGAGAAGCGCTGGGAGAAGGCGCCGAGTGGCTGGCGTGGCGCCGGCATCGAGACGTCGGAGATTCACAAGGGCGTACACCCCTCCCTCGTGTCCAAGTGGGGCGGCAAGGAGGACGAGCTGCACATGGCGCTGCAGCACGAGAACCGCGTCAGCCGTAAGCAGAAGCACCGCACCGGCACGATGGCGACGTTCCAGTCGCGCGGCGCACGGCGGACGACCCTCCATCGCGGCCGCGCGCCGCCTTTCGCTGCGGTCGAGGTGGAGCTGCACAAGCGCTACCGCGACAAGCGGACGCGTGGCGAGCGCGTGACCGGCCAATGGCTTCGCGTCTCCATGAAGCGCCTCGTGCGCGAGTTCGCCGGCGCCGACGTGGCCGACGGCTTCAAGGCGTCCAAGTGGTGGCTGCGGTCGTTCGCGCGGCGCTTCGGCATGTCGCTCCGGCGCAAGTCGAACAGCCGCGCCGAGTCCGTCCTCGTGCGGCTGCCGAAGATCAAGCGCTGGCACGCGCGCCTCCGTCGCCGCCTCCGTGGCGGCCTGCAGGAGAAGCTCGACCCAAAGTGGGGACGCTGGTTGCCGCGCAACCGGCTGAGCGTCGACCAGGTGCCGTGCAACCTCCGAGCGGGCGATGGGCGCACCTACGACGACACGGGCGCCAAGCGCGTCTGGCTGGCGGGGGCGAAGGCTGACGACGGCAAGCGCTTCTGCACGCTGCAGATCGTCGCGCGCGCGAGCAACGGCGACGCCTCGATGCCGCGGCACGGGCAGCCCAAGCTGTGCGTGATCTTTCGCGGCCAGGGCAAGCAGATCTCGCAGAATGAGCGAGATGCGCGCCACTCCGACGTGCAGGTGCGCTTCCAGCCGAAGGCGTGGGCTGACGACCAGCTCTGCGAGGACTTCGCGGACGTGGAGATGCGCGAGGCGACGGCGGCCGGGCGCGCCGCGGGCGAGCGGAGCGTCGCCATCTTCGACAACCTCTCCGGCCAGACGACGCCCGAGCACCTGCGCAACCTGCAGCGCCGCGCCCACTGCGACCGCCACCTGCTGCCGACTGGCTCGACGGGCGAGCTGATGCTCATCGACGGCGGCATCGGCGTCCGCCTCAAGAACCTGATGGGCGACGAGATGGACACGTGGCTCGAGCAGCCGGGCCACCTCGAGCGCTGGACCAAGGGCCCCAAGGAGGGTGGCCTCAAGGCGTGGCAGAAGCGTTCGCTCATCACGCAGATCGCGGGCCGAGCGTGGGAGACGCTCTGCGCCACGTATGACTTCGAGAAGTCGGCGCGCAGCCTCGGCCTGCTCATGACTGTCGACGGCTCCGGCGACGAGCACATCTGCGTGCAGGGGGTGACGGACTACACCTTCAAGGACGAGGACGGCGGATCGGACGGCGGGGAGAGCGAGGCGGACGAGGACGAGGCGGAGCTCGCCGATGTCGACGAGGCGGCGGGCGAGGAGGAGGGCGAGGAGGAGGGCGAGGAGGAGGCGGAGGACGGCATGGAGGACTCAGAGGACGAGGACGAGGACGACACCGCCGTGCGCATGCAGGCATGCGGCGAGGCTCCGGCAATGCCCCCGAAGGGCTACGTCTATGCGGCGACGTGCCCGCCGCTGGCGAACGACGACGAGCAGCGCGCGCTGTGCCGGCGCAAGATCCTCGCCGCGCACCTCCTCGACGGCGCCACCGGCTGGTACGTTGGCACCGTGCAGCACTTCGGCGTGGGCTCCTCGTGGCGTCAGCCTGACGCGACGCACATCGTCATGTACTCCCAGAAAGAGACGGGCACCAAGCACCTCGCGGGCCGTGTCGCGTGCAAGCTAGCCGCCGACAACTATGGCGCGAGCGAGTGGTGGCTCCTGCTGGAGCCGGCGCCAGAGAGCTGAGCATGAGGGACTTGACGTGTTGCGTCACTGTTCACGCAAAGACACAACCCCGGGCCCAAGACTCACACTGTTCACACTATAGAGAGGGTGAAAATTGCGTTTCACCATGACTGTAGACTGAGAAGAAAGTGAAAGAACGACCTCTCTCTAAAAAGTCGTATGATTTCTAAAATTTTCTTCGCGCCTGCGGCGCGGCAGATCAGAGAAATCGGGCCGGCCTCGTGCCAGCAGCCGATTTCTATTTCGGCCAGGGAAATCAGCCAAATTTCCAGCAGCCAATTTCTAAACACCGATTTCTAAGGCAAGAGCACGCACTGTAGTGTTGACCTCTGGAAGCGGGCCGCAATATGAATAATATGGTGTCTCTTTTACCCTCCTAGTGATACCCACATGGTGCCGACACTAAACGATATCTGTTCTCTATTTACATTGATACACCTCGAGAGACGGGGACACCCACACGCCCGTCGGTGTATAGTGTACATGAGGAAAACGAGCCGTATCCCGACGAGTTCTCTCATGTTCCACTGCCTCCTCGCCACTCGAGCTCGCACCGAACCAGCGCGTGGTCGGAGACCTCCGCCCTCGGGTCCACCACCGTCGAGCTGGTGGCCGCGCGATACGCGACGCCTCCAGGCGGCCGCGAGCGGCGGGCACAGCAGAGGACATGGTCGACGGTGCCATCCTCGCAGGTCGGCTCCTCGCCCGTGTCCATGCGACGCAGCTCGAGGTCCGCGTCCACCGCCTCGAAGGCCTCGTGCAGCCGGTCGAGACTCGCGTGGGAGCCGAGCCACGCCTTCTCGTAGATCGACGGAGGCGTGGCGCAGCTCGGGCGCGGGCCGTTCCTCCGACCGGGCAGGGTCTGATGCGGGAGTGCGCTGTTCAGGTCACCGACGAGGAGCAGCTGCTCCGCGCCCTCGTCCAGCAGCCTCGCCGCGAGCCGCGCGAGCTGCAATTGTTGCGCGCCTCGCTGCACGCCGCCGTCCGCGTACTCGAAGGTCATGTGCGTCGTGAGGACCGCGAGGCCGCCAAACCGCACCCACTCCATCCCCTTGTGGGCGACGCACTCGGCGTTACCACGCCAGTCGAACGGCTCGAAGCCGGTCTCGTCGGGCGGCCGGCTCGTGCAGAGCAGGAGCCCGCAGTCCAGCAGGCACGGCGCGCTCGCCGACCGATTGCTCTCTCGCGGCCAGCCGGCGTGGCGGAAGGAGGCCTCCCCCGCCGCTGTGGCGTGAGGCAGCCCGGCGCGGCGCAGGGACGCAGCGAGGACGGGCTTGGGACTCCAGAGGACGGCGCGCAAGAGCGGCGGCGCGCAGACGGAGGTGACGAGAGCGCCAGCGAGCTGGACGACACGGCTGAGTGCAAAGATCGCACGCAGCGCCAACGGCTCGCGATCGCCACGAAAGAGCGAACTCAGAAGCCTCTTCTGCAGCGCCGCCTCGAGCCAGACGAGTGGATATAGCGGTCCAGCGCGCCACGCCCACGCCTCCTGCAGTGCGGCGATGACCAGGCAGTCCTCCACGCCAGGATCGGCCAACATTGAGCCTACGTGCCTGCACAGGCACCGCTCGATGGCCTGCACGCGGCCGAGGCACCACGGGCCGCCAAACGGTATCAGCCATAGGTTCCACGAGACGATGCGGACGCGAGCCGGGCAGGACATCGGCACGGCTGGGTGGCAATGGCAGCTGGGCAATGGCGGCAAGCTAGGGGGAGGAACGACGGACGGTGTGTTTCTTTATTTGGCCCCTTTTCTACGGTCTGATCTCTTCTTGCTGAGTAGTATATTGCATAGACCCCTATGGTAATCTAAACATGCTGTCCACACGTAGCCCGATGCCGATCACCCCTCCGTCCAAGCGACACGGGGTTTGGGGCGCGGCAGTAATTTCTGTTCGGCGCGCCGTGTGATATGGGCCAGGGCCCTAACAGCAGCACATGGCCCGCCTCCTCGCCCGCACGTCTTCGCCCTCGATGTGCCGAAGGAGCTCTTTTGCGGCTTGGGCAAACTCGTGACGCGGCCCAGGCAAAGGCGGGGCAGCCTCTGGCGGCAGCGAGAGCCATGGCAGGCCGTTCGGCGCCGACCGCCCCAAATCGGCTGGCGCTGTGGCGCGGGCGCAAAAGAGCCAGAGGGCGTCGCGCTGCAGGCCGGCCAAGTCCGCGGCGAGGGCAGCCGCCTCCGTGCGGACGCGCTCCGGCTGCCGGCTCGAGAGCAGCGGCTCGATGGCGGTCATCACGACGACGACCCTTGCCGTCGCAGCGCGCGGCACGCGGCAGAGCGCGCGGAGGACGCCGAGCGCCGCGAGGAGCGCGTCCTGCGGGCGCGAGCGCGGCTCGGCGGCCGCCTGCCCGCCGGCTGGGCGAAGCTGTGTGAGGGGCGGCGCCGCGCCGTGCGCCGCGACCACGCGCAGCACCGGCGGGAAGGCGGCGGCCATCGAGGAGACGGAGAGCTCGCCGCGCAGGAGGTGTGCCGCGGTGCGGAGCACGCCCATTGCGGCCGCGGCGAGGGCGAGCTCGGGCGAGTCGAAGAGGGAGATGAGCGGCGCCCAGAGCTTGTGCAGCGCCGGCAGCAGCGCACGTGGCCACGGCTGCAGCAGCGGGATGGCGGCGGCGAGCGCGTCGAGCAGGACGTGGGCGACGCTCGGGGGCGAGCAGAGCAGGAGCATCTCCACCTTTTGCACCACCCGCAGCGCGAGCGCCGGCGCCATGGGCGGCTTGTTGCGCCGCTCCTCCTCCTCCTCCTCCTCGCGCACCTCCGCCTCACGGCGTGCCGCCGCCTCCTCTTGCCCCTCCGGGCCCTCGCCCTCTGCCGCCGCCTCCTCGCCGCCGCCGGGCTCGCCTCCCCGTGCCTCGGCGGGCGCGACCTCGCTCCAAAAGGAGTCGAACATCGCGGCGAGCTCGTTGCCAGCCTCGTCGCCCTCGCCCTCGCCGCTGCCCGGTACCGCCAGGCCGCCCACCGACTCGGCCGCCCCGACGGCGGAGCTGACACCGGCCGCGGCCACCGCCGCACCCTCCGGCGCCGCCGCACCCTCGCCGCTGGCCGCCGTCTCGTCCGCCGCCTGGCAATCCCTGGCGGCCAGCACGAGCGCGCACATTGCCCGCGCGCACGGTAGCAGCGCCGGCGCCGCCCTGCTCTCGCCGTCCGCCGCGCCGACAGCCTCGTCGGCGAGGTCGATTAGCTCTCCGACGACATCGGCGAGCAGCGGCAGCGTCGTCGCGCCCGCGTAGCTCAGCAGCGCCTCCATCACGAGCGGCACGCGCGAGCGGCCAGACGGCTGGTGCCGCAGCCGGCGCGAGAGCGCCTCGAGCAGGAAGTCGCCGTTGGCCTCGATCAGCGCCGCCACCGTCGCGCCCTCCCCCCTCCCCTGGGCGAGGCTCATGCGGCAGAGCGCGCGCTCCGCAGCCTCCGCGACGAGGGCGGCAGAATCGCCCAGCTGCTCGAGGACAGAGAGCAGAGAGAGGCGCAAGCCCACTTGCAGCGCGTCGGAGCCGCCCGCCGCCCCCGACTCCTCGCCGCCGCGCCCCAACGCGCCGAGCAGGACGCAGCAATGGCCGACGAGGTCAAGCGCGAGCTCGCGCTCTTGCAGGCGCGCGTGCTGCTCGAGCAACGGCAGCGACTCGTCGCCGCGCTCCTCGCCGGCCGCCGCCAGCACCTCAGTCACCACCAGCAGGAGGCTCTCCTACGGTGGAACGCCCGTCCGCTCACAAGAGGCGGCTGCGCCACCTCCGTCGCTGCGGGAAGGAGAACCTCGAGCGCTGCCGCACGCGCCTCCGCCGCCCCTGCGGCGCGCGGCTCCGGCTCTGCCCTCCCGTTTTCGCCGGAGAGCGCCTCGCCTCCACAGCCGGCCCGCCCGAAGGTGGCCTGCCCGAGGGCATCCTGCCCGAGGGCATCCTGCCCGAGGGCATCCTCGAGCGTGAGCAGCTCGGGCTCGACGTCGCTGTCGCTCGCTTGGAGCGCCCTGCCGCCCGCCCGCTCGCTAGGCGCCAGCAGCGCCTCTGCCCGAGCGGCGAGCCCGGCGTGAGCACCGCTGCTCGCCCCCCCCTCCTCCCCTCCCTCCTCCCCTCCCTCCTCCCCTCCCTCCTCCCCGCCACAAGGGGGACCGACTTGCGCCTCGCCGCCCTCGCGCCAGCCCGGCCTCAGCCCACTCGTCACCCCGACCACGCACCGCCCGAGCAGCCAGAGAGCCTCCCGGCGCGACGCGCGCTCGCCGCCGCCGGAGCGCGGCGCGGCGGCGACGGGCAGCAGAGTGTGAACGAGGTGCTCGAGCGGCGCGGCGCGGCCGAGCGTCTCACACAGCTCGGCCATCGCTCGGACGGTCGGCGCGTCCCGCAAGTCGGCAAACGGGTGCAGCAGCGACGAGGGCGTCTGCAGCTGCGAGAGGCGCGCCGACGCCGAGGCGGCCGAGGCGAGGCGGGTGGCGTGCCGCCCTTTGCGCTGCTCGATGGCGACGGCGCGCGGGGCGAAGCGGAGCACCGGGAGGAGGACGCAGCAGATGTGGCCGAGGCGCGACGCGCCGAGCTGCGAGGTGACGGCGAGCTCGCCCACGCCGCCCTCCGCAGCCGCGGGCCCGCCGGCGAGCAGCTCGAGCTGCGAGGTGAGCAGGCGGAGCGCGAGCGCCTTGGGAGGCTCGGCAGCCGCGCGGGCGACCTGCGGCAGCCGAGCCGGCTCTCATCAACAGCTCATTCATCACTCATTCAAGACGCATGACTCGTGACCTGCGGCAGCCGGCCGAGCTGGCCCTCGAAGGAAGCGGAGAGGACGTGCGCCATCCCGCCGCCGGGCGGCAGGCGCACCTACAGCCGGGCCGGCATGCTGCAGCTCCATGCCCAGCTCGGCGGGTGCTCCCCCCCTCGAGGGGCTGGCGGGGAGGAGGCCGCGCGCCGCGAGGGAGGAGAGGGAGGCGCGCGCCACCGCCGCCACGGGCGGCAGGTCGTCGCGGGCGAGGCCGGCGAGCAGCTCGACGAGGGCAGGGACGCACCTGATGAGTTGACTCGTCTGCAGTAGTCCTCAGCCAGTCACATCAGCCAGTCAGGAGCGCGGCGAGGGGAGGGACGCACGGAGCGAGGGCGAGCGGCTCGGCCTCGCGCGCCAGCGCATCGAGCAGCGCGGCGAGCCGCATCCGCACCCTCGGGCTCCTGTGAGACATGTCTCGGACATGTCTAGGACGTGTCCTGGAAGCGGCGAGCAGCAAGCACCCTCGGTTCCTGCCGCCGGAGCACGCGCGGCCGAGGAGGAGCAGCCGGGCCGCGAGCCGCGAGCCGCTCTCGGCAAGCCACGCCTGCGAGTCAAGTCATGGACATGTCTCGAGACATGTCCTGAGCGGCGAGCCGCGAGTCAATCACAGGTCAGAGTGATGGAAGTGGCATGGAAGTGGCATGGAAGTGGCATGGAAGTGTCAAGGAAGTGTCATGGAAGAGTGTCGAGCACACGCACCGGGTCAGTCGGGTCGGTGGAGAACGGGGCGGCCGTGGCGGCGGACGGGACTGACGGCGCGGCCGCCTCGCCCTGCTGCGGGGCGGGGCGATGCCGCGCCGCCATGCTGGCGAGCGCGCGCCTCCCGTCGGCCGGTGAGGCTGCGGCGCCGGGGCCGAGGAGCGAGAGGCGCTCGGCGGTCTTGCCGCGCGCACCAAGCGCCGCCAGGAGGAGCGTGCGCACCGCCCCGAGTGCGGCGAGGCACGTCGGCGCGTGAGAGCTCACCGAGCGGGCCCCGATCTCGACGAGCTGCGTCGCGGTGCCCGGAAGCGCAAACGCGACCAGGTCCGGGGCGAGAGGCAGCAGCAGCAGGCTCCAGACGGCTCGCACGCACGCCGCTCGCAGGTGCGCCGCACGCTGCTCGGACGCGGCGACGAGCAGCGTCGAGAGCAGCTCGCACGTTACCGGCCGAGCCTGCCTGCTCGCGAGATGAGCCCCGAGGCAGCTGCGCTGGCCCAGTTCGTCACCACCTTGCAGGCGCAGGCGGAGCAGCCGCCGCACGCAGCAGAGTGCCGCGGCTAGCGCAGCCTCGGTAGTTCCGGACTCATCCCAACCCCGCACAGTAACGAGCAGGTGCGTCGTTTGGCGCAGGAGCACGTCGAGCTGCAGTGGCAGCAACGGTGGCGCCTCTCGCAGCGCCGCGGCGAGCTGGAGTGCAGCGCCGACGGTGGTGTCGCGACTTTCCGAGGCAGCGGACTTCGGATCTGGTGGGCACGCCTCGCGCAACGCCTCGACGGCGGCGAGCAGACGGTCCATACACGAGAGAGAGATGCCCGCGCCCGCCCGCGCCCGAGAGGATAAGCTGTGGCGCGCTGTTTTCACGGTGCTCCGGCTGCCCCCCGGTTAAGATCTCTAGTGTGACGCCCAGCGAGGGGCGTGCCTCTCCATGACCGAATGCGCGGGTGCGCATTCACACTTTCCAACTCCGAGATATTACGTCACGTAAAAGCAACTCGATTGCTTTTACGTGATTACGCGGCGCGCGGCTATACGCGCCGAGAGCGCGGATATATTTGCTATTTGGGAGCTATCGCGATTGCATCGCTATTTCGGGCGTATCGGCGCGCCGACGGTCGCCGAAGTGTTGTAGTCTATTCCTGAACAACTTTTGTCAGTCACCAAGGGCCGCGCGCGCCGCGCGGCTCCTCCTTACCGCCCACGCACCCGACGGTGCGTGGAGCACTATGGTTGCGGCGGCCACCGGGGCCAGCCCGCCAGCGCACAATTTGAGCCCAACACGCGACGACGCATCGTCGAAACCGATGCTGTTCCCGCACGGAACCGCGACGGCACCTCACCTTGCACAGAAATGGATTGAGCAAACGCGCTCCCTTCTGGACAAAGAGGGCCACGGCCCTGCCCTGGACAACAAGTGGGCGGGCCACACCCTCTCGCAGTACCCGGTTGTCCGGGTCGACGACTACTCGAGGCTGTCAGACGACCGCCGGATCCAAACGGAGATCAAAAACAAACAGAATGTCGAAGCGCGGTACCGTGCCTTCTTCGGGGCAAGCACCAAATGCTTCTGGGTGCTTCACCAGTTCGTGCTCAAGACCGCGCCGGCCTTTGCTCGGCATCTCGAGGTCATCTGCGACCGGACCTTCTACGACAAGATGCCGCAGCCAAACCAGATGGACGGAGCCCGTGCGTGGAAAATGATCATTGGACGACTGTATCCCCCGACGATGCCCGATCACTTGCAGGAGGCGTACGAGGGCGCGCTCACCGTGGCCAAGAAGTACCACCTGCCCGACGGATGCTCAGGTGAACAGTTCGAGGAGAAGGCGAACGCCGTTATGGAGAACGTTTTGCCGAATCTGGAGAGACCGCTCACCGGCGAGTTGACCACGAAGCTGCTCGTGAACTTCTTGCCAGTCTCTCTCAAGAGCGAGGGAATCCGGCTGCTGAAGCGATTCGAGACCGAGGGCAAGTGGTATGTCATCAGCGAGTGCGTGATCCTCGTCGCCAAGTACCAGGCCGCAGCTCC